GCTGAGAATGGGATCTTGGAACTGAGCTGGATTAAAAACCAAAATGGGTGAAAAACTACATTAATTTATAGCACCATCACTTCTCTGATCCTTCAAACAGTTACAGTGGCACGACTGAAGGGTTTGCACGCTAGCAAACAAGGACGAGCAAGAATGCCATAACCTAGTATTGCAACAAACTCTTTCTGTCACAAAACCATTGTCGTATTGGGCTTTACTTCCAAGTTCCGAGCTGTTCAATGCTAGTTTTTAGTACGTTGCTGTCACAGGTTTTGCTGGATGTATTGGTAAGAGGGGCAGGAGTGGAGTTCTGCTTGCTCCAAGGGAGCAAAAGATTCAAATGAAATGAAAGAGCAAAGACGAGGCACGGAGGAGAATGGATAAGAAGAGTAAGAATAATACTCATCCTTTAATTAAAGAGTTGTTTTTTTTCCCATCGAATGATAAGATTCTGAACTAAAAATTAAAAAAATTATGTAGTTTCTGAAGGTGGCTTTCAAAATTTGATCTTTATGTAAACTTACTGCTGGTGTTAGAGTTCTACTACGTTTATGATTGTATGTGTACATGTATGTACATGGTTCGTAGGCAATCTTTTTATGTATATAAAAAACTAAATTGTACTCTATAAAAAAATTTGACAGTCCTTTACTTGAGACAGTGTGTGAATATGTATGTCTGGCTTTGTTTTCAAGAGTTTTCTTTCATTTTCGGTATAATTCTGCCTAAGTATTTAAATGGTAGATTCATAATTTTAAGAAACAAATGACAATGGTGTCTGAATACACTGTTTGAAATATAACAGCATAGTACCAACAGTTTTTCTTACAGCTTTACAGCTGTTTTTCTTCTGTATCTAAGGTGGCCTAAGACATGCAGTTGCCAGTATAGCAGGTCTTGAGGCTTACAAGTACATGAAATTTGAAGGAGGAGTGCATCGTGTTCAGCGGGTGCCAAAGACAGAAAAGCAAGGACGCATTCACACCAGCACAATGACTGTTGCAATATTACCCCAGCCCACCGAGGTAATATTTATCTTTTAGTATAACAGACACTACCATGACCAATGTTTTTACATGCCCTATTGCTGATACCCAAGTGTTTTCTGTCTCTCTTGTTATTCTCTTTTAATGATATTTTTTTTTAATCTTAGTTTTAAACTAAGTCATATTTGTTTGTTTATTTTTATTTTTGTCTAGGAGGGTGAAATATAGAATTTCTGGATTTCCTCATAATCCTAATCTCAAGAAAGTCACTGGCAGTTTACTTCACTAGAACTTGAAAAGTCACTGTGACTGTCTTGCATGTTTTGTGGAAAACTTTACATTTTTTACAAAGTAACAGGAGACTGAATTAGTTTACAGAGCTCACAGAGATTTCTTTTAGCACCTCCTCTTCCCCATTTTTGTAGTGTCCTCGCTTTCCCCTTCCAAAGTGTACGGGTGATAATTCATTCTCGCCATATTTGCTTGGTTAAAAACAACTGGCTAAGAAATAAAGCTTTGTTTTGATCTTTGTTTCATGTTGACCTAGCAAATTGTCAAAGATGTTACTCCTTCCTATTCTCTCCCAAAGTTGTCTCGCTCCTTCCTCCCAGAGACCGTCGCCCCATTCCAGAGCCAGCAAAGGGAATATGTTCCATTTTATCTAAAAAACGTCTGGTCAAGTTCAAATATTGGGTAACTCTGCTGGAAGAGGGTGCAGAGCTCTCAGAAGAGGGGGAAGATTAGTGCTAAGGGATGGTTATGCCTTAAGCTACTGTTTGTCTGATTTTCTGGCTTCCATCGTGTCACATTCCAATCTGGCTACAAGGATTTGTTGATATGTTTATAAGTGGATGCGAGCTACCACTCATAAGCTTTAAAAAGTTTGATCTTGCCTGAATGTGCCTTATAAAATGAACTAACTATGCATGTTTGACATCTGTCTAGAAAGAAACGACATAAATGTCTTCTTTTTTTTTTGCGGGGTGGGGGGGTCTGTCTCCCACGACAGATGAGGCTGCAAATTAATCCGAAAGATCTACAGATAGAAACAAAGCGAGCTAGTGGAGCTGGAGGCCAGCATGTCAATACCACGGACAGTGCTGTACGGATAGTTCATGTTCCAACAGGTGCTTCATTTTTTCCTTAGTACAAGATCTACATTGCAAAACTGCTGTCAGAATTTCTTTGGAAACAATGGTTTTATTTTCAAACCTGGACAACAGTAGAGCAGAGTTTTCATATAGTTTTCATGTGTGTTTATAGTACCCTAAATGCACCATCCTGTGCCACTCCAATTTGTAATAGTGAATACTACTGGCTTCAGTAGGTAAGCTATCCATTTTGCTGTTAAGCATGACACTCTAAAAGCGTCCAGATCAGTTTCTGTGAAAAAGTTATAGTTAAGCTTTCAAATAATGGAAAAGAAACTGAAAAACAGAGTAGGTTAAAATCTGATTATTTGCCTTTTCTTGACTAGTCTCCAAAAGCGAGATTGCTCTATTTCCATATTAAAATGTTGCTTTTAATTGCAGAGTCTGCTCAGGATGCCAGCTTCCATTTGTCTGCTGGCTCCTTTCCCATAGATTACACACATAATTAGGAGGCCCAGCCCCAGGTCTCAGGTTAGGAAACGTAGGAGGGGTAAGATTATACCCTCAAATGCAACCTGATTTTAGCTATCGTGTCTTTTTTTTATTGCCATTCCTAAGCTTTTTACTTCCCTTTGAGCAATCCACAACAGCTGCCTTGACTTTCATTGCTTTTTAACTTTTCCTCTTCTCTACCACAAACATTAGTCAGGCTTTACAGCCTCAGGGTAATCCCGAGTGCTCTTTATCTTCACGTATCGATTTTTGCCACCCGTTTCTTCATATGTTTTGAAGATATTAATCCATTCTGCATTTGTTGCATCACCTCAGTAAAGCAGAAGGTAAACAGTGGAGAGGATAGAATTCTGCTCAAGATACGGTGACAAAAAGGTACTCCAGATTCAAAAAGTTTTGGATTGCCTGTATGTTTGGAAAAAAAACCCACAAACTGAAACCAGCAAATGATCTTAGTTTTTGCTGAAGGCAGTCATTAGTGTTTGTTACAGAAATCTTAAAATGTATTGCAATTTTTTTTGTGGTTATGCACTAGAGATGGTTCATAGGGGGTTTTATATTTCCTGACTTTTTCCTATTCCACCTTTCCCTTCTTCATTCCTCTTGATCACTCTTCCTTTACAATTGTCCTGTTACTACTTCTATATCTCTCATCCTAACTCTTTTTATAAACCTTCATTGCAATCCAAAAAGTTGTTTGTAAACAAGTCTTTCGTAAAGTAATCCTATGTAATCTTATAAAAGCATACTGTAATCTTACCAGAGTTACTTAAAATAAATCCAAATAACAACTTAGCTTGTGCTGTCTTCTTCCTGTATTTCTTCTCCCTACTCCTTTCTTAAGCTGTTCACTTCTCATCTTAACTTGAATTGTATGTTTTGGGGGGAGAAACCACACTTTTTTTAAGAAAATAGTGCCCACTTTTGTATATTCTGATCATATGCTATATGTTCACTACCTTGTGTATTTTACTGCTCCTTAAATCGTAAATTTCCTGGAACTGTGGCCAAAAATTACAAGTATTAAATGTGTCTTCTGTAAGTCAGATCACATCACGTATCTTTTATTTCATGATCTATCTATTGTCCAACATACTGAATTAGATTTCTTGTCTTATGGCTTAAAGCACCTGTACAACTCAGCCTGCACTTCTCTCCCAAAATGTATCGCTAGACATTAATAAGCCTGGACTTTTACATTCCCAGTCCAAAATATGTATTGAAGAAAGAGACAGCTTATTGTAACATAATAAAATTCTTCTAGAAATTGCAAAACCCTTTTAGTATGTGTTACTATTAAGTGTTAAATGTCATGATATTTTTGGCAGGGATCGTGTCTGAATTTTTTTTTTATTTCAAATAAGAAACAAGGAGAAGGCTATGCAAATGCTATGTGCTAAACTATACAACGCCAAACTGGAAGAAGAAACCAAAAAGAGAAACAGTGTTCGAAAGATTCAAGTAAGTTTCACTTAGTAAAGATATAATTCTGTACGAGCCTATGTTCTCGGGGTAACTCCTGTGTTGATCTGCAAATAGTAAGTGGAAATACAGAGGAACAGGAGCCCAGGAAGGACTTAGATGAGGCAAAAAATTTACATTTTAATTCAGCAATAAGGGTCATATATTAGCCAGACTTAAAGTTTCAGTAGTATGTAAATTCTAGAGATCTAGTGAAACAAACTGGATTACAGCATGAAGAACCAGAATAGTATTAGAAAAAGATACAGTAAAATTGTTCTTTTACGTTTGAGAACAATTACTGCAACTACTGAACTGGTCTGAGTACTATGTAACTATAACAAATTTTGGATAGTCATGGGGGAGGAAGAGAAAGCTTTTGCTTTAGACGCTTAATCAACATTTCACCCTTTTTATAAAAAGACAATGATGATAAACTGATTCTTCTTGTTTGATAGATTGGAACTAAAGGAAGATCGGAGAAGATCAGAACATACAACTTTCCACAGGACCGGATTACTGACCACAGGATAAGCAGATCAGTGCATCATATGGAGTGTTTCATGCTAGGGGAAGAAATGCTAGATGAAATGATACAAACTCTGAAAGAATATGCTGATTATGAATCTTTAATGGAAATTATTTCAGAAAATGAAGAAAAGAGTCTATCCTGAACGTTGCTCTTTGTCAGCCCATTACAACAGATGTAGACGTGTGTCTGCAAAGGAGCTTCTTGGAGCACCACCCAGAAAATGCAACTGCTTTTCAGATCATGCAAGACACCACAACTTGTTTCCTCATGACTGATAAACGGTTTTCTTGCTTGCTGAGTAAAAGACTTTATTACCTTCATATGAGACATTATTGCTGCGGCAGTCCACTTAAAAAGTAAATTTGGCTGGGCCGGAAGTAACTGCAGTTTTTAACTTTCTCCACTGAGAAGATACTGATACACCACTCTCGAAAGGTACGCATTAAAAAATGGGCTATTTCTAGTTCCAGTTTTCATTTAAACAATAGTTTAAACATCAGTACAATGTCAACTACAATGTTCTCTCAAGTAAGAGAGAACAAAAGAATCCTGTTTTGTTTGAGTGATTGGAAGAAAGTGATAAATAAATGACCCCGCTACTAATCTGCATATTTGTTAATCACTTACACGTGGCATGGGAGAGGGAGTCAAAGTGTACCTTCATGTTTTCATGGCCTTCTGGCCCTTATTAATAAACACAAAAAATTGTGCAGGAATATCCCTTGTTCCAAAAAAAAAAAGCTGTGGAAGCTAAGTGACAAGTTACATGAATTGTTTTTGAAAAGGATGTTTCTGTTCTTGAGTCAAAAGTTAAAAGAATCATTACAATATTGTTTGGCTGATATTTCAGTCTCCGTTTGGCTTCACTTCAGTTTCTCCTTTATGTTTTGAATTGAGGCTCCAGTTTATTGATTTTCTAAACATTACATGGTATGAATGGCATCTTACTGGTTTGTTTATTTATTTATTTAACAGCATCTTAAAACATTTGATCTGTGAAAGCAAAGTAGAACTTTTGCCTTTCTAATCTACTGATATATGTGCACGTTTATATCTGTGGGTAAAGAAGACTTTTAACCTTCATTTTAGACTACATTTTACAATCCCAAATACGTACAGCAATACAAAACCTGCAGCTTCCATGCCGCATTTTCCCATCGTGCGTTGTACCTATGCATGTGTGTATACACACACAGAATGTATTTGAAATACAAATACCAGTAAACAAGAAATTGGAACCTAAGGAAAAATGTTACCACGAATATAGGGGTGTTTACTTTCAGACTTCTGATTAAAATTAGTGTAAGCAATTAGAATAGGAACAAAGTAAGTTTCTACAGATAGCTTATAGAAATGCATTATTTAAACATCCTCTATAAAAATCAACTGATTATTATCAGTTTATTATCTTCTTTTATTACATTTGAGACTGCAGTTTGAACCAATGAATGTCAAAAAAACGCATAGGGTCATTTGTTTTCTAGGAAATACTGCATGGTAACTATGATTAAGTTCCAAATCTTTTAATTAAAGATGCATACATTAACTTCAGATGTCGGAGTGCCTGTATGCCTAAGGTGAGGCACACATATTTCCTGTTGGTAAGTGTGAGACCCAGGTCTAGATTTACTAGCAGATTTACAACTCCCAGCTGGCACACAAGAAAGTAAAAATGAACATTGGCGCATTTTGTGTGTGAAATAATTAGATATTGATTGGAGCAGAAACTGGGACCGCAGTCTTTACTCCTACCAGATCAGTACCGTAAACAGAAGACTACAGAGCACTTGTGACAGTCGTCTTGACTTCACGTAAAGCCAGGCTATCTTACACCAACTGATGGATGGAGTTTGCGATTCCTTCTCCCTTAACTTCAGCTTCATATTCCTCCAGACAGATAAGGGCCATCAGCCAGGTCTAAGCGCTGGACAACTGCATGAAACTTACACAAGCGTTCAGGCCTTTGTCACCCTAGACCTTCCCTGATGTTCCGGCTGGTGGCCCGGCTGGCCAGATCCCGCCTGGCTCGCCGCCTCCCTGCTCTTGCCTGGCTCCTGAACGGACACTGGATGTGTTGTTGCCTCGCAAGCGGCCAGCTTCCGACCGGTGTGAGAGAAGCCAGGCATCATGTGGTTCTGGCAGGAGGCTGACAGAGGTATCCCGAAACTGGCATCTGGCAGTGTCATACGAGGTGGGCTTCACGATCGTGAGTGGTACTCCTTGGGCTGTCATGGCAAGCTTCACTGCAGACAGCCTCCGAGTCCCTTCCTGGCTCCGTGTTCGTTCCAGTGCAAGGTCTGTCGTCCCGCTACAGACGCAACCTCCCTGAGCTGTGGGAAGATTCTGTTCTCGGCAGCGGCGGGACCCCTGCGCGGGCGTCCAGCCTGCTCAGCTCCCGGTAGCACTCCTCCTCGCTCCGCCAGCTACTAGTAACGTTGATCGTGCTTTAAAATAAACACAGTTCTTCCACGGGGAGGAGCTCGGGTGGGAGATCCGCCGCCGGACTTAACAAATCCTTCCCCGGTGGAGGAGCTTCGCGCACCTCGGGTGTGCGCCCTGAGCGTGCGA